GGCCAGGAGCCTTACCGCCCTTTCATCTGACACTGGGGACACAATCCAGACTCCTCCGGCAGCGGGGGGCCTCGGGAGGAAACGGCGCGCCCTCTTTACCCCCCTCCCCGTCCTTTTTCTCCTCTCTCCTCCTCCTTTCTCTCCCTGAAGCCTATAAAATGTTTGAAGGAAAGGGGGCAGTCAAGAAAAATCTCCCGCTTCCCTCCTCTCCCTCTCGCGCTCTCTGCCGCTCCCCCCTGCCCTGTCCTGCCTCTATCTCTGCCTCGGTCTCTCTCCTCCCCCTCTGGTTCTTCTCCCAGGATCCAGCCAAAGGCTAGGAGATTCCATGACACCAGAACCCGCGTCTGTCAGGCTGTCAACATTCCCGCAGCAAGCGCACCAGCGCCCAAGGCCTGATTGATCCCATATGTCTGGCAGGAGTTGCAGAGGAATTCACTGGAGATGGATCCAGATACCGAGAGTGCCACAGTAATTGGAAACACTTTGTAGAGGAAAACACACACACGGACCGGCCAGGGAATTGAAAGCATCCTTTGAAAACTGCTTGCTCACCTTTTGCGTCTTTTTCCCCCCTTCAGTGACCCTGTCTTCACCAAACACATGTTTGACTTTGCTGGTGGGGATTTCTGGGCCTTGGTGTGTGTGAGTGCAGTCTCTTGAGGGCGCCCTCAGATCACACCATATATGGGGTGTCTCTGCCCCACTGGGATGATTTGTCCTGGTGCTTCAGTCATGCATTTACTGATTCATCCTTTTTTTCCATTCAACAAATATATTTTTTAAATTTATTGGTTAATAGGATCATATAGATTTCAAATGTACATTTCTATGATACATGCCCTGTATATTGCATTGTGTGCTCACTCCCCAAAGTCAACAAATATCTTTGAGTGCCTATGATGTGCCAGGACACTAGGTATAGGAGGAGGAACAAAAATTGACATGGATCTTGTCCTCACGGAACTTATAGGGTAATGAGCAAGATGGCCATTAGCCAGATATTCCACAAATAATATATATATAATCACAACTGACCGTGCTAAGTGCTATGAAGGAAAGCTTAGGTAGACAGACTTGACCTTGGAGAGGCCCTGGAAGCCTTCTCCGAGGACATGAAGTTTGTGCTGAAATCTGAAGAATGAGTTGGCGTCCCTTGTCCCCACCCCCTTCAGGTGCTCGTGGTTTGTTTCAACATGTGAGATCTCCTTTGAATGATACTCAGCACGTAGCTACTTTGAAACAAGTTGCACCTGGGAGTGCAGCAAGAGCCTAACAGGGGTGGTGCATGCGCCAGAAAGAGCGCAGTTTGCGTAAGAGCTGGAGTCTTTGATTAAGAGAATCCAGATAGGAGTCAGGAATCCTGTGTAGATATGCTTCTGCAGTTACAAAAACCACCTGAACTCAGTCACTTCCAATCCTTGGCTTCAGTTTTACATCTATTTCATGATGGAATTCACTGATCTCACTTCCCTGTCTCTAATATAAGATGATTTGATTCCATCTATATTTAATGAAATACCTTCAGTGAGAGATATAGCACAGTGTACTGGTTGAAATGTTAGGGTTCTGGAATTTCTTTGCCTAGGATGAAATCTTGGCTCTGCCATTAACTAGTTGTATGAATGTGACATCAGTTTGCTCATCTATAAAATGGATTAATAGTAATAGCATACAGTGGGGCCTTGACTTATGAGTGTCCCGACTAACGAGTTTTTTGAGATACCAGCTGTCTCTTGGCCAATTTTTTGCATTGAGTTGATAGAGTAATTTGAGTTAACGAGCTTGGTCTCGGAACGAATTAAACTCGTAAGTCAAGGCCCCACTGTATTAAGAGTTATGAGGATTTAATCATAAAAACAACGTTCTTAGGACAGTGCTTAGAATAAATGCTAGTTGCTATTTTGCCACCTTTAATCATGAATACTCTTCAAATCCTTATTTTTTCTAAAAATATTTATAGAGTATCTACTGTGCCAGAAAGTCAAATACTGACAATTTAAAGATGAGTAAGACTTGGTTCCAGTCCTCCCAAAGTTCAAGGGCTATCATAAGAGAACATCGATTTGCAAACAATTACAAAGCAGTACGATGGCTGCAAGAATGGAAAAAGGGAAGCAAGATCTAAATCTTCCTGGGGAATGAGCGAGATCTCATTTGAGCTGAGACTTAGAAAAAGAAAACTTTTTGTCCAAATTTCATCTGCTCTGTGTTATTCAAATATATCATCAAGCACAAATGTTTCAGGACCTTTATGTGCCAGATACCATGGCAACTACTATGTGCACTCCCTCATGTGTTCCCTACAAAAACCCAAGGAGGTAGACAATTACTTTAAGACTCTTTGGTTGCAAGAAATAGACACCCAACTTCTTGTGTAAAGAAAACAGGGATTTCTTGGCGCATGTAACTACACTGGAGAAAGGGCAGGGGTAGACTGATCTCAAAAAGGCCAATGGAGGGGAAAAAGGGAGACATATGTACTATTATTTGTAATACTTTAAACAATAAAAAAAAATTTAAAAAGGCTTAGAAAAGGAAATCAAGAACTACTTAGGTCTTGTATTTTTTTTCTCTTCTGCTTTTCTTTGCATGTTAGATTTAGTCTCAGTCTTCAGATTTATGATCTGAGAAGGAGAGATTCTTTCTCATGAGCTCAAGTTTAAAAAAAATTTAACACAAACCACCACCAGCAGCAATAGCACCACCACCACCACCTTAAAGAATTCCCACTAGAGCAGGCATGGGTTGTTGTATGCCTATTCCTTAACCCAGGCTGGGGTTGAGGGGATGGGGCATTATAGTTGTCCTAATTTAGGTCAGACACTCACTGTGGCAGAGACACCTAGTCACCTACCTACCACATCTGATTTCCCCTTCTTGAACAGCAATAGAGCTCCTAAGTTTTAGCTGGGAACAGTGGTGCCTGAAGGAAAAACTACATATCTCAGCCACCCTTGCAGATGGATGTGGCCATGGAGCTAGGTTCTGGGCAATGACATGTAAGTGCTGGTTTTGTGTGGCAGCTTCCAGGAAACCCCCTTTAAAGGCAGCTGCTATCTGTTATCTGTTGTCTCTTCCTTTTCCCCCTTACTCGATCTTTCCACCTGGAACATGAATGTGGTGGCAGAACTCTAGCAGCTATTTTGGACCGTGAGAATGAAGGTCACATTCTAGGGATGGGTGAGTAATAAACTGAAAAGAGCCTGGGTTCCTGCAGACTTCAGAGAGCAGAACCATTGGACTCATCTCAGATTGCCAATCTACCCCTTTTATTTTGAGTTTTACTGTCACCTTCAGCCAAACTTGATCCTGACTAATAAACCCACATCTGTAGCCATGGAGGGTACCCTCTCAATATATGCTTTTCATGAATGCCATAGCAGAGAAAAGAGGACATAGTTTCTCACTGTCTCCTGAAGTTACCCCCGAAGGCGACACAGATCACTTCTGTACCATTTTTACTGACAAAAGAAAATTGCATGGCCATGTCTGACCCCAAAGGAAGTAGGGAACTACAATCCTACCATATTCCCAGAAAGCAAAAAGCTAGAAATATTTGGTGAACACCACAAATTACCACCATATTTCTATGTTATATATTGGCAACTTTACTTTTTTTTTCTTTTGATTACTGTTATGGACATTTTATCTATTTTATGTTTTTTTTTAGAGAACTAACAGTTGGACTCTTTGTTTTCTGATACATTAATTTACACTTTTATACTGACAATTTATATTGTATTTCCTTACCTTGAAACCTTTGTTCATTTATTTTCATTTACTTTGCTTTTTAAATAAAGCTCTTGCAGATATAATTTTCTATCTACACATGAGTATTAGCTTTAGTGTCATTATTATTTTCTAAACAACCTATAGCTGGACTTTTATTTCTGCTTTGGCCCAGAAATCATTGAAGGGAGTGATTTATTTTATTTTTATATTATTATTTTAACTCTAGTGTTTGTATGTTTTGTTAACCCATTTTTAAATTAATTCCCAAGTTTATTTTATGGAGGTCATAGAATAGAACTATTCTTACTGAAATGTCTTGTGACCTAATATATGAATAACGTGAAACATACCATTAGATTTTTGAGAAAAGTAAGCATTTTTGGTTGTAAGATATAAATTCTTCTATCTTATAAATCAACTTTATTATA